GTTGATGCTCCCATCAGCCCTTGCAGCCTTTGCAGTATTCGTGAAACATGTTCCATCCATGACGATTTGCGTAAGTTCGACTTGTCCGAAGAAAGAGGGGGAGGTCCGTACACTATCTAATAGGAAGCGTCATAGGAAACACATTAAGAAGGGTCTTTTGCTGCCTGACTTTCAGTACCAAAAGAATGGCTAACTTTGCGCTTGAATTCATGTCTTTCAGCCTATTGTGCTAGATTCAAAGCTCATCAAATTATACATGGAAAAGAATGGTGTCAAATTCCGTTACGTTGCAGCTCTTTTAGTCGATCCCATTTTCGCTTCCTTCTCCCATACACCAGTCTACGGTCCACACCGGTCGGCTAACTTGGACAGCGTCTGTTGGCTACGAGAGAAGAGGCCGCCATCAGGCTACGCCGACCGGTCCTGTGCGCCCAAAAAGACGTCATCGCGACGCCGCAGTTACCATGCTCAAAAATCGCTAATCCAATAGTCAGCAGCTTATCATTTCGGCCGAATACCAGTCCCCCCCAACACTGCTCAGATTTATTTTGACCCCGATCCTCCCCCTCCCTCTCCCCTGACAACCGTACCAGTTTGTCTACCAACCCGCATAGTTTATTTACTTAATTACCATATGAATGTAAAAGCCCGACGAAAATTTATCGAAAACAAACGTATGTTCGCCAGTTCATCTTCTGAATTTTCAATGGGAATTTTCGCAAAGTTCAAATAAAAAAATCAAAAATAGCATAGAAAATTTAGCTGAATAAGTTCTAAAAATAATTTTGGAATTTACGCAAATAAGGAAAATTAGGTGAACCCCAAGCAAATAAACTTTTTTGGTTAACCCTTTACCAGAGCAGTGGCGATTCTTTCGTTTGTAATTAGTTTTGCCATTACGGCGGCCGAAGACATTAGATTTGGCATATACAAGTGCGAATAAGGCAGCTTAAGTTGTTTCTGTCGAGCTGATAAACGCCATACAAAACACACTCATGAACGTGATTTGCGAAATGTTGGTAAAAAAGTACGGGATCTAAGCTACTGATGAAAGCTGTATGTAACCATAATAAGTAAAGAATATAACCAGAAAAGGGCGCTATATATACAAAAGGATTTTTAACTATTTAAATCTAAGGATTTTTACAAGAAACTTCGTGTTATGTAAAGACAGCCCAATCTGCGGCCCCAAAAAATCTTACAACAAAGAAGTAATGATCGTTCTTCAAATAGGGCATATTGCGATTTATCAAGTAATAATGTTATTGAGAAATACCTACTTTTTCAGAAAAACGGAAAATTTCGAAAACTGAAAATCGTGCGTACTAGGAAAACGTATGTTTTACATGTAGATGAGGCCTGCAAATATAAGAGGTGAATAAAGCAGCAAAGTTAGTAATGCATTGGAAAAAATCGTTTTGTAATTTTTAGGGTATATATGCTGTATTATTGCGCGCAATGTAATGTTTGGCTTTTACCGAACAGGCCGAAGTTTGAGTATGTATTCCAACACGATTCCTATAGAATTGCTGGCTGTTTCTTCCGTTTATACATTCCCAGTTACTTTGAACTAGGGCAACCAGCTTTAAATAGAATTGTCAGGTGCAATCGTAAACGTACTATTTTGTGTACAGTAAGAGTAATTTCCTTCCGCCAATTATCTTTGTAAGTATTTTGGTATTTCGATTACGATGAGGTTCAGATCATTCCTGAAATTGTATCCAAAACCTTAGGATTTTCACTGACTTCAGCCGACTGGCCATAAATAAGGATTATAGTCTACGTGATTACTATAACATTCACAGTAAGCTATTACTTAAAGGCATTCACCAAACTAACGAGTTTGTAAACATTCTTTATCTACAGCTGTCTGTTTGGATCATGGTGTTAGAATCACTCAAACATGTCAACACATTGCCGTGAAAAATGAACGTCTGCAACATTAGTTGAAAAACATAGGTGTAGCATCAATTAAAAACATCTCTTTAACATTTGTCTCTCGTAAAAGGGTTTTATTGAGATATTTTGGCATCAACTGCCAACTGTATTCTTTACACTTTTTGAAGATTAACACAAGATAAAAATCACAAAGCGTGACCGGATTGTTCGCTAATCTGCGAAGTAAAATAATTTTTCTTTGCTGAAAGTGCACGAACTCGCATTTTTGTGTATACCGAAGCAGATTTCAGGCTCAGTTTTAAGATAGCAAATGCGAAGCAGAGTGGCAGAATATCAATGACGATTGTGAAAGAAACTTATAATCTTTTGCTTGTTACGGTTGATTGTATTCTAATGATAGGAAATATTTGAACATCGTTTGCATAGGGCTTGAGAGAGAAAAGTGATGGCATGTCTTGGGTGTCTGTATATAGGCTTGTCTACGATCGTTATTTTTGTTTAGATAACACAGATTACGGCTTTATAAGTTTATTGCTTAATTGTAGGGCAAATCATTTAGCAGATTTGCAAAATGAATTTTCTGAACTACATTTGCTCTTTTTTTCTAAGAGTAATGAATTTTCTCATAATTGCACTTATCTTAGTTTCGGAACATATGTGATTAAAAAATTGCCGGTTTTTTATAATGTCCTCTTAGAGTACAACACGCACAAAAAGAAGGCTTTTTCTGCAGCGTTCAATAGGGTAGGTCATTCCTTGGAAATCAACAAACATTGGATTGAATCCCATTCCTCCCCTATTATTCTTCCTAGTATACTGACTTGTTCTGAACTCTTTTCTAGTTAACAGCATTTTGCGCGTCAAGTCAACTAAATGAACAAAATAAACAAC